ATATTTTTTTTTAAGTAAAGGCTCCAAAACTGTACTTTGAGGTACCCAATTCTGTAGGTATACTAATGCCATTTATTCTGGGGTCCATCTACGTTTTAGTCACTCTAGCTATTTTCTGGATCCCCAAATATCAAGAAGGAGATAAAGGGTTTTACTGAATGGGATTATATGAGTTGTTACTAGTGGGGTTCTCCAGGGCTCCATCCTTGGCCCAGTTCTCTTCAACATCTTCATTAATTACTTGGACACAGAACTTGAAGGAATACCAAGTAAGTTTACTGACAACAATAAATTGGGAGGAGCTTTTGACTCCCTGGAGGGCAGAGAGACCTCAGCAAATTAAAGAGGCAGGCAATCACCAACTGTATGAAATTTAAGAAAGGCAGCTGCCAGATTCTGCACCTGAGGTTGTGTGTACAGACCAACTAAGCTAATCAGTTGGGCTGTATTTCACTTATTTTCTAAAAGCACTCTTTCTAGAAAAGCCTGTAGAAACTGAAGTTAAGCATGATTTGCTGTGGACATGCTGAAAAAAATGTACTTAGAAAACTCAAAAAATGGAATCAGAGTCAAATGACATACAAAAACTAGAAAGGTTATGAAAATGTAATGTTTGATCAAATGTTAGTTAGCTTATGGACAAATTACTGAAAATTGATCTAAGTTTTATTCGCTAAAGTAAATAAATCATCCAAGCAGTGGAAAGGGAAAACCGGAAATAACTGATTCATTTTTTTTGAGTAAGTGATATTGGGGTATTAAGTAAGAAAGGTTGTCAATGCTTTCCTAAAACAGAAAAAAGTGTTAAGATTCAGTTGTTATCCCATCCCTCCCCGAGAAAATACCTCTTCTTATGAGCTCATCAATTATTAGTTTATTTCAGACTGTGTTTTTGGAATACCTCGCTGATAAAAACCAGATGAAGCTATCCAACCAATATTCATCCCAATTAATGTTTTTCCTCCTTGACATATGCAAGGTCTACAGCGCCAAAAAAGGTGGTTGTTGATTTTTTTTTTTAATAAAAAGGAAGTTGAGCTCTACTATAGAACATTAGGACAAAATCTGTATGTATGGATTGAAGGAGTTTCCTATGTATACTGCCTTTTATCTTTCAGCAATATCTATTGGACAAAGGGAGACCTGCTCTAAAATAGCATGTAGGCTGGAGGTTAGAATAATCTATCTTCAAGTTCTTGCTGAGAGTGAATAAGGAATTTGAATCTGCTCTAGTCACTGGAGTGATCTACCTGCTCCTCTACTTAACCTTTCTCTCTCAATTCTTTTCGAACAACTAACCAAATGTAAGAGGCTTTAATTCAAATTCAGTCCTGTCCTGATGATATAGACAGTTATTTTTCTTTTGGAATTGCTCATTAGTTTTAAATCAAAGCTGTGTGTGGATGAGGATTATAAAGCTTCAAGTCAATACAGAACAAGACAAACATACAGGTTTTTGTGGCAGGTTGCTTATGCTGAGTTGCTAAAACTGCATCTGGAAAACCATAAACAAATACATACCAAATGTCTCTTTTTTTTTCCCTTGGTAAATTGTTTATCTTAAAACTCTGAATCTAGATTTTGATGTCAAAATTCATGTCTTTGTGCATGTGTCTGGAATTTCTACATTGCACTGTGCATAAACTGAAAGTCTGGAACAAATTAGAAATTGTTGCTAGGGCAGAGTGAATTGTCCCATTGTCAGAAGGTATTTCAAATAGAGAAGATGTTGCTCTTTATTCTATTATTTGCAGCCAGCCATCAGTGATCTGTAGTTGATGTTTAAATAATTGTTTTGACAGGTAAAATCAAAAATATTTATCAGTCTTGTATGATACATAGGCTGTTGCTTTTTATATCTTACAGTGGGCATTCCCCTGAGGTGCTTGATCAGAGAATACTGTTGTTTAAAGAGAAATTGTTAAAACTTGATGGCTTGAGGGCCAGATTGCTAGACTTGTTTGTTTTCCACTTTTCTTCATGGAAAAAAGAAAATAGACTATAAGTGGAGGAGAATTCAATCTGCATTTAAGAAATGCATTTATGTTCCAGCGATACATTTCCTAGTGCATTCCTGATGTGCTGCTAAAGGCTACTTGTGCATTAATATTTGCAATGCACTTGAGATTTTTCATAGTAATGACAACTAGTTGTTTCTACTTGTGCTGCTGTCCCTAATTTGTGCCTGGTCAAAAATGATTATATGCAGATGAGAAAATATTTTTACTGAGAAAAATATAAGATCAAGTTTTTGAGAGGTTCATTTAGAAAATAGTCAATGGTGACTGCACTGTGAAACATCAGATATGGATCTAACTGTTAACTGTATGGATTGTTGGTTTTAATTCATATAGAATCATATTAATGATCTACATGTCTTCTGAATGCCATTTTTTGGAGACAAGATATATTTGTTGTGTGTAGGGAGTCTCGTCTCTTCCCACACAATATCAATTGAAAGAACCATGACTGAATGTGACCTTTTCTACAAGGACAATGAAAAAATGCAGTGTAACATTTGAATTACTCCTGTTTTCAAAGGTTGTTACTTCACTCAGATATTAGTGACAGAGAAGTACTAAACAGATACTAGTTACAATATTTGGACCTTTTTTTCCTCATTCATTGTTCAGTTTGTTCAATGAAATCCCAGTGTTATGCTAAACACTATTCAGGAAGGCATCGATAGCCATCACTTCAGAAACAGTTCACCTGCTGTTCATAAACTGGCTCTTGAACAGAACATCCTGCTCACCTCTTGAAAATCCTGTAGCCTCCCTTAGAACAACTACCCATACCTCAAATTTAGAGTGATGTTTATTCAAGGTCATTAGAATTTTTGCACAAGAAAGGAAAGTTAAGAGAGGTCCATAATTGCATTACTATACATACATACATACATACATATATGTGTACATATATATATATATATTTATGTACCAATCAAGTGGAAATGCTAACTTGGGAAGTTTTAAAGAACCTTTGAAAGTAAGGAGTTAAACCAGCACAGAATTTCGAAAGTGCAAACATAAAATTTGTTTTCATTCAATCTTTAAGAAATGTACAGTTCATCCCATTCATTATGTATTACCACTTCCCTTGCTTAAATATTACATGAAAATATTATTGCCTGAGCTTAATGAATTAAAAATTAAATCAATCAACAGTAAAGTAATTTTAAAAAAAATAATTTATAACAGCTTGTAGTAAAGGTGTGTTGTCTTTTCTTAGACTGTGCTCTGATTGAGAATAAGGTGTGGTTAATGTTCAAATGAGGGCTCGTTGAATCCTGCTAGGGAGCAGCATCAGAAAGTGCTATTGATACTCCATACATTTAAATCATATGAGCATCTAAAATTTGACTAATTCCTTGCAAGACTGACATGTAACATTTTATAAAAATGCATATTCTCAGCCTGAGAAAGAACATGAAAGGCAAGACTGAACTGGAATACACAACTATTCAGGTAAAATAAATGCTAAATAAAATATTACTGTGAATTATGTAGGGATTAGAAAATTCCAGTGATGACTAGGCAATCAAAGTATGGTCTTTATTCATTTTCATTGCTCCCTTCTGCTTGGTGAAAATAAGGTTTCCAGGCTTGGTGAACTGTAAAGGGAAACTATTTGTTATTTTGAAATTCAAAATTGGGCTTGTTGGATTTTATTTCATTACATTGAAAGACAAATTTATTTCAGATGTATTGGAATGCACACACACAAAAAGCCTCAAGAAACCAAAAAAAATTTAAAATGTTTAGAGTACTTTTTTTGCCTAATATTAAAAAAAACCCCAACAACTAAGTCTGAAACTAGTTTTCTTTTTAACTTTTGGAACTGGAAGTGAACCTCAAATGCCTTTAGTCATGCAGCAGCATAGGCAAACTTTTCATCCAAACTCATCTCAGTTTTGCTTTTTAAAGAAATGTAATCTTAGTCTGCTACAAGTTGACCAGAGATGAGCTCAAAGATACTGCTGTGTTGTGATGATGGCATGGCCAATGGTTTTAGCCATGAAAACTGTAATATAAATCTCTGTCAACTGCATGTCTAGCGGACTACTCGGAGTTCAATAAGCAGAACCCAAGCATCAGCAGAAAATCAAAACAGTTTGTTCCTTCAGTGACTTTTCTGTGTACAAGTTGCAAATAAAAAGAATTTTTTTTTAATAACAAGAAAACACTCTTCTAAGTTTGCATAGTTCAATAATTAAGAGTGAAGAATGCAAAGAGTATATAGAAAAGAAAGAAAACTTATGGTGCACATGTGTCTACATAAACCTGTCAAAAATACAGTAAAATAATATTTTTAATAGTTCTATCTATTAATATGCATCCAGGAAGTTGGAGTATTCAGGCTGGACATGCAAGTTCAGCTTTGCTTTCTCATAATATTATGTAATATACAATCAGAATCAACTCAGTGAAAGATGCTTATGGGAAAATAACTAAGTGAAAATATGGTAATGCATTAAGAAACTTTGGACAAAGCTTGAACTTTCAGAGAATTTTACAACGGTTTTTTTTTACTTCCACAGTTCCCTAGGCAAGGTTCATCTGAATTAGTGATAGATATTATAATAACACAGAGATAGGTTTTTTTCCCAGTGAGTGAATGACATAAACCTTTAAACACAATATGCTGGAAAATTCAGGGTTTAATACATTAATCTGTTTACAAAGCTACCCACCTCATAGATAGTGGGATGTTCTGCTTTTAATGTGGTGGAGTATATTTTTCATGATAAAAGGTATGCTGATTATTGTGGTGTTTGTAAGCAGGTCATTTTTCAGTATCTGCTTTGCAATTATGGTTTGCAATGAGAATGATTACAGTAGCTTCACTTCAGCATGGAACATAATGATTGATGTTATATCACGGAGAAACATGGAATCTCCTAATGACTTTCATAGTGTCTATTTCTTTGTGGAATTTATTTTCGTTGTCTTAAAACAATGCGAACGTTACTAATGGTATAACCTTATCCCCTGTGTTAGGTCTCCTAGAAATCCTGAACAGAAGATCATTAAACGAGTGATTGCACTTGAAGGAGACATTATCAAGTAAGTATTTTAAGCCTTAATCTCTGAGTCTTTATAGGAAGAGTGCAGCTTTCAGCATATTTTAAATCAGTATCCTAGACGACGAGAACTTTCTAGCATTTTCTCTCTATCTATTCTTAACAAGGATGTCAGCATTGTTCCTGTCTTCCTTTTAATGAGAGGAGAAATGATACACAAAACTACTCGCTCTCTCATGAAAGGTACATGGATGCAAATAATGCTTATTTCTGAGGATATCTCTGCCACAAATCAAGGCTGGTAATTTTATAGCATTTTTCGATAAGATTATAGGCCTGTGATTTTCCATTTACAAACTACAGTTACTGTTTCACACTGAGGCGGACAAATAAAGGTAGACTGGTTTTTTGCTTTTATTTATTTATTTATGTATTTGTTTCAGTGTGTTTTTTTGGTTGAATTTACATTTTATATTTATTTTATTCTATTCTATTCTATTTTATTTTTGAGAGAAAGATGACTGTCTTTGCTGCAGTACGTAGGAATCTGTAGGGAATATATGGAACTGATTTTAAGTAAATTATTCTATCAGGAAAAAAACCCCACAACATTGTAGCAAGAGTAGACTCTAGAATACTTCAAGACTTGGTTTACTCTGAAAGATACACCTTTCTACTGGGGCTGGGAGGAAATAAATTACCAGACGTAAATAAAAAGTTTTTTTGAGAACAGTATTATTTTGAAGAAAATACTTGCTTGAAAAGGTATCTTTTTCCCAGATACAGAATAGAGTTGGCATAGAGTTGGGAAGGTAAATCCCTAGTTTCCCATACTAAGCTATGAATGACCCTGGGAGATCTCAGACAATATGGCACACTGTGACTCAATTTGTTTAGATAATGATTCTTGCTCTGGTGTAGTGAATACTTAAGAAGGCCTTGACAGCTGCAATTCAAGTCAAGGATTTGAGTTTGGTCTCAGTGAGCCCTGGTTAATAAAACGGGCACTGTGGAATTTGTCTATGTTTTTGTTTTGTTTTTTGTTTTTTTCTCTTGCAGTCAATATTTTTGTTTTATTGAAAAATTCAGAATTATCTCAGTTTGAGAAATCAAAATATACTGTTGCCTCTTTGTTGGAGCAAAATATTTTAAATAGCAGGCACTAAGAAGATAATTTGATGTCCAAAAACTATATAGACATTTACAGCTACAACTATCACTTAAAGAACTAAAACATAGGAGTAGCGTGTATGCTACTGTGTGATGACTTTTATTAACCTGTGTCCTTAAGAAGGTACTTATTCCTTGGTGCAGTTGATATTAGTGCTGTAATTAATTTAAGTGATAAGAATGATATTCCTGAATCAGTATTGCTCATTCATTGCTGTAGCAAAGTCAGAAAGAGACAGCAATATAAGGCAACTTCAAGTGTTACTTTATTAACATATTTACATTCATTTTTGAAACAGAATTTGGATTTTGATAAAAAAGGGCATTTAATGACACAAATTGCATCTGTAGGAAATTAACTATGCTGTACATTCAAACTCCTCCAGTCTCTGAACTTTTCATTAACTTTTGCGGGTGTTCTTGGCCAAATGGACAAAGGCGTGGGACATAATGGGTGTGAGAGTATATGCAGAATCTTGATGAGCCTGTACGTTACTGAATTACTCATGGACACAGAAGACTGTAGGATGATCCTCATTTATCTGTGGTAATACATGTTAGGTGAATTTATTGAAAGAAATACTTATCTCAGTAATCAAGATGTGCATTTTTTAATTTGAACACATGAAAATTGTCCCAGAGCTTTTTGCTATAACTGTATGTTTTGGTTGCAGCTAGGATAGAGCTAATTTTTTTCCTAGTAGCTGGTACAGGTCTATGTTTTTTGGCTTTAGAATAAGAATAATGTTGATAACACAGTGATGTTTTAGTTGTTGCTGAGAAGTGTTTATCCTAAGTTAAGGACTTTCCAGTTTCCCATGCTTTGCCAGTGAGGAGGTGCACAACAATCCATGAAGGAGTTGTGGTCAGGATAGCTGACTCAAACTGGCCAAAGGGATATTCCATACCATAGATCATGCTCAGCATGTAAACTGCAGGAGCTGGCTGGGAGACACTGATGACTGCTTGGGAATTGACAGTGAGCAATTGTATTGTACATCACTTGCCTTTCTTGAGTTTTATTCCCCTCTCTCTCTCCATTTAATGATGATGATAATAAAAATAATAATTTTATTAATTGTTGTTGTTACTAGTATTATATTTTATTTTGTTTCCATTATTAAACTGTTTATTCTCAACCCATGAGGTTTACCTTTTCTTTCCAATTCTCCCCCATACTGGGGTGGAAAGGGGCTGGACCGAGCAAGTGGTTGTGTGGCATTTAGTTGCCAGCTGCAGTTAAATCATGATAAACAGTATTGTCATGGGTCAATAAGAACAGTGATAGGCAATATGGTCTGTGATTCTGTAGTTATGTTTTCATAGCTGAGTGAATTATCTTTATTTGATCTATTTGGAGCATGACTAGGGATGTCACAAGATATGTCACGAGAAGGCTATGTGTTTTCATATTATCAATTAGGGTAAGTTAGAGTTTTACTGTTTGTTAATTACTGAAAGAAATGAAAGATCAAATAGGCAGAGCCATTAATGCCATAAGAAAAGTTCCTTATATTTTGACTTCAGTTCAGGTGTTATGACTCCATGGCAGTAAAATCCTGTTTTTCAAATTTCTAAAAGCATTTAATAAAATAAAAATTGTGACATTTTAAAAATAATAATGACTGACTTCCAGTTTTTGAAAAGGAGTGTAGGTGAAAGATCTATAATAGGTCCATTTTTGACCTTTTTTTTCTTATTTTTCAGGTAGCCACACATTAGGTACTACATGGTACTTACCTTTTGAAAAATGTTCTGAAGCACTGAAAAAGCTACAAACTCACTGAAATAAAAACTTCAGTTTTCTATTCTTGTTTCCAGCCTAGTTGCTAGAGCAGGTGAAGTGAGTTTCATGGTGTCTTGTATATCCCCAAGCATATACTCCTCACAACCTGTGCCACAAAACTACAACAGATAATTTAATTTGGATAAGCTATTAGAACTTCCTCTTTTGAAGAATTTAATGAATAGTTAGAAAATTACCATTCAGCCTCTGAGAATGAGTCTATAGGTCAGTTCTTATACAGACAGTATTGCAAAATGTAGCTCCCATAGATCAGGATTTATTTTGTCTTCCTTGGATTCACAAGAGAATTAACTTTAAGTAGGAAATCATTACAATGGTTCCTGAAGGCTGTTTAAACGTTAAGTCTTTCAAAGGAGGCCTTATTTTAAAAGTCAATATAATCTAATTTGTTAAAAATTAAAAACACTTGGAGTAACTTGAAATTAAACTCAATAAAACTCATTTATCTTAAATGCATTGGTGGAAATTAAAAAATCTATAGTTATCTATCACAGATGAATTATGATATGTTTTTGGTAACACAAATAAATGAAGCTTTATGCAAAGGAAATCAAAATTGGGATTAAGTGAGTAACATTTGAAATTGAGTCTTTTCAGAACCTTGCTGAACTAATTTGTTTTCCTCCTGTCTATCACAGTGCACAGGTCTGCAGGAGCTTGGTGTACCAGTTATGTTCTTCCATCTAATTGTTTACTTCTTAACACTGTACCTGGGTTAAGAATGATTTGTGAGCCTCCACGAAGACTAACTTTTTAAAAAGTTTGGTCCAGGCATAGTTTTAGGCTATTTAGGAGTTAGTATTCTGAACTGAATGGTTCAGCAAAATGCTGTTGCGTTTAAATGTTCCATCTTGCAAAATTGCTCTGAATATGCGAATAAGGAAATACTTCTTGTTTCTCAAAGTATGGCAATGCAGACATAGATCACACAGACACAATTTCATGTTCACTAGTGCTGTAGAGCAAGTCTTTTTGTTCCCTCTTTTCCCAGTGCACAGAGCTCTTGTAACTATTATTCTGAGGTACCAGTGATGTGGTAAGGTACTGCTTGCAGTGGCTCAAAGTTAGAATAGGAAACGTGGAATAGGAATAGGCAAATAGATTATCCATGAAACACATTAAAAGAGTAGGAATCACAGTTGATGTTGATACAAAGGGTATGTTTATGGTTATGTCCTGTTCTCTTCTTCAGCAAAGTCCACCATCTTTGGGTTATGAATAAAATAAAATAAAATTTTAAAAAAGCAACATTCTGTGAGTGGTCAGATCTACATTGACAGGAGTGGTAGTGGAATCAACAGAAACGAGAACAGATTGTACTCTACAGAGACACAGCACTATCTGCAGAGATTAAAAATTTTGGAACATTTTTCATTTTAACTGACTAATTGTATTCTTCATATTGTTCTGTCTCTGTACTCTATGTATCTAAAGGATGTAGTTGCAGTCAGATTGCCCTAGATGAAAAACTCTTTGTCTTCCAAACTATTTTTATTTTGTGTCCATGTGCACAGAATACTCATAGGTATGATGCAGTTTATTTTACACTACTTACTGTTAGGTACTGATGGAATTTTTTTAGCCAATTAAAGCTTTATTTTTAGGTTCCGGCTATACTGCTCTGTCATGACTGTTTAGAATTGTTCATATCCTTGAAAGTCTCCTAAATAGAGTTTCCATTGATTTTGATTCCATTTCCATATGCAGAGTCATTGCCTGACAGGGCTCAATTTCTGGAAACGCAAATGATGGGAATGTATATTGGTGAAGCATCTCTAACATAGGTAAACAATTTGATGGATGTAGAATGAAGATTTTCTATATCCATAATGAATTGCTAAAGTTCTATAGATCTTTAGGCCAAGTAATGATGGTCTGAAAAGCTGGATTTCTGAAATTTGGCATTTTTCATACTCATTATAAAATACAGAGGTGGGGGTTTTTTGCTTTGCATTAGGTTGGTTATCTAATATTTGAGGAGGGGGTGTATGAAAAGACAGAAAGAATAGGAATAGAGAGTTTAATTTCAGGAAAAAAATGCACAATTTTTTTCCTCGGAAAGTTTT